TTTTTTTTGTTCTTCTTCATCAACAATAGCAGCCCATGTACTGTCTCGTACGGTAACAAGTTTTGGTTCCGATGCAAGATAATCGGTTAATGCCATTGTCCTACCTTTTTTCGATTTTTTCGACATTTTGTTTTCTTTTTTTTTTTATAATAAAGAAATCTATTTAATAAAGATAGATTATCATTCCAAATCAAATGATAAAATATTGATTAATTCAAATGAGTGTAGTGTATAATAATAAAAAAAAAAAAAGGAAACGAAGCAAACGGGTTCGTTCAATATGTTTACGTATAATTAGCTTTGCATATAAAAAATAAAACATTAAAAAATAAATAAATTTATTTGATTTCATAAACAAAATTGATTTTTGATTGTTTTTCATCGAAAATTTTTTATTGAAAAGAATTTCTTAATAACACATTTATGCATTTATAGAAATGCATATTGATAAAGGAATTGTCAATGAGATAACAAAAAGAATGAAATCTTCTTATTATAATATAAATAATGTTCTGTTATTTTTCTTTCTTTATCAATGACTAACACAATAAATTCACATCAAAATCTTAATGTTAAAAATATAACTAGTTTATTTGAAGAAGTTCAAAATCGTTATATTAACAAATTAATAAGTATTGATGAAAAAAAAATTACAACTAATGAACGAAATAAAGTAAATCAAATGTTTTTTTTTCTATATTAATTAAATAAATTAATTATTTCAATATATGATATAACCAAAAGCATATCGTTTAGAAATGATAATAGACTCTTATTATTAAGTGTTATTTTTTGAATAGTTAATTTACTAGGAAAAGAAAACATTTGAATAGTTGTTATACAGAACATGCCAGAAGTAAAATACGTCACATTATGATGATTGAAGAAAGTAATATAAACATAACAAAGAGTTGTTTTGATAGTATTGTTTGATAACTCATTGAATTGAAGATATTCTAAGATTTTGTTTTGATAGTTAATCTTTAATAATTTTTTCATTATAAAAATGATTTGTTCAGATTCTTAGGGGATCGAGGTACTGATCAAAAATGAAATTTTTTTTGTGTTTATTTTATATGCATTCGAAAGATGATCATTTAAAATTTCGAGATTTTAATTATCACATTTCTTTTGTCGATTATTAAAATAGATAATATCATTTAAAACATCATTCTAAATATTCGAAATTCATATAGAAATATTTGAGTAGAGATCATTCTTTGTCTACATATAAATTAATTTTCGTTGAGATCAAGAACTTATAGGACATCCTTTATAGAATATTAATAATGAACTTTGAATTATATGATTGTGATCAGGATTTTATGTTTTATCGATATTAATGATTATTATCCGATTTCTCAAAAAAAAAAATATATCTTTTTTCAAAAGAACTGTCGATATAATTCGAATCAAGATGAAACCCTAATTTCTTCGAGATGAAAATTTTCATGAATGAAGGACACTTGAAAAATGTCTAACATCATTTTCCTTGAGACTTTACTTTTCTGCAGATCGTGGAAGTATCACATTGCCTCGAAGGTCAACTTTTCTTTTCAATATTTTTTTTTTACTCATTTGTAGAGAATCAAAAATTCAATTTGATATCGTTTGATTTCGAGAAATGGCAGTAGATATAAAGTCAACAAATAGATATTATAGACTGTTAAATTATGATCTTGTCCACTCATATTGCCTCAGTAAATAAATGATCTAATCGCTCATTTTTTTTTCAGTTATTGATGATCTATCTTTTAATATATTGTATACAAGAATTTTTTGACTTATGGAAGTATAATCATAGTAGATAGTTAACTAAAAGTAACGCTAGTCAATGGAAGACGCCCTGATCTTTGACTGGAATGTTCAAACCTTTCAGTATGACATATTACTTTACAAATTCAATCGATACCAATATCAAATGTATGCATGAGCGTATGTGCGGGTTTGGGTGTTGAACTTTATCGGACTCGGGCTCGCCTATTCCACCCGTATTCACATCCTGAACAAGACTCCGAGCATAGCAAACATATATTAGTATGTGTCTGCTACCGTATGAAATATAAAATCAGGTATATGCAATCTCTCATCTGCATTTTGATTGACTTGGATGGATGAATATAGATACATTTTGTGAAACACAATCTAAAAGTAGTGTTGAAGAGTATAAAATGAGCCGCAAAAGTTTAAGACACCTTTATTTTTGAAGTTTTCCATCGAAGATGAGTTACTAGGTCAAATCCAAATAGTGATTTGGATAGCTCTTGAAATTTTCTATTGAATACAGTATGTATCAAATTTTCAAAAGAGACTTTGTGAAGGGGAATTTTCCAGAAAACCGTATCAGGGAGATTTCAAGTCCTAGAGGATTTTGACAGAAAGTTTTTCAATATAAGAATCTGAAAGAGCAGAAAATTTTAAAGAAAATGAATAATCGCCCAGCTCTCTACGATATTCCATCATAAAGATATAAGCATTAGAAAAACCGACGAAAAGCGAGTTTTTTTCTTCTAATGCTTATATCTTTATGACGAAATATCGTAGAGAGCTGGGCGACTCTTCATTTTCTTCAGAATTTTCTGCTCTTCCAGATGTTTATATTAAAAAATCTTTCTTTCAAAATCCTCTATGACTTGAAATCCTCCTAGAACGGTTTTCTAAAACATTCTCTTGACAAAGTTTCTTTTGAAAATTTGACACATATTCTATCCGATAGGGAATTTCAAGATCTATCAAAATCACTATTTGGATTTGACCTAGCTACTCATCTTCTATGAAAAACTTCAAAAATAAAAGTGTCTTAAACTTTTGCAATCCATTTTAGAGTAGAAATTTGGAATCGCCCCTTCTAGCAGACAGAAATAATAGACGAAGCTCCCTATATCTTCATAGAGCTTGAGAAGAATTTCAATAGCTTAGTCTATCTAATCATCAAGGATAATACGACCAACATGTATGGTGCGTTCCTTCACAAATGGAACAGATCAATCGTATTTCACATTTTAAGTCTACAATAAATTTTCTTATTTTTACAGCAAAAAATAGTTATTTATGAAAGTTATGTAAAAGATTTATCAACACAAACACGTTTACTTTTACAAAGTCTTGAAGAACTCGAAAAAGAAGCTAAGCAACGTGTAGGATTACTTGAAAATAAACTCAAAAAAGCCAATGCATCATTACAAGTATGTTTTAAAAAAATCCTTCTTCATATTTTCATTCATTATCAAACTTCATTCTCTTAGCATTATCATTCATTATCCGACTTAAATAAAACAACCAATGTAAGTGCATATTTTAAAAAAGGTCAAAATAAATTTGATCTATTCTTTTTTTTTCTTCTTGTATTAAAGAATTTCGAAACAGAAAAATGGAAATTAGTTCATGAAACTCTTGATCTTAAACAAGATCTTGATTCATTAACATCATTTATTAATATAGCTAAACGTACAGGAAAATGGGATACAGATCGACTTCAATTAAAAACTCTTCCACTTGATTCTATATTTGGTATAACAAATGATGATACTCATATATCAAATCCATTACATAAAGAAATTCAATATCGTGATGAACGTATACAAGTTTTACAAGCTGAAATAGAATATCTTAGAAAAATGCAAAATGATTTATCGAAACAAGTAATTTTTTATATGATTTTTTTATTATTAAAATAAATTTGATTTTAATTTAGACATTAAATCTTAATTCATCAACGAGTGAAAATGAATTAAAAGGACAAGTAAATTTTATTTAATAATTATTATTTTAAATAATTTATTTTTGAATTTTTAAGAATATTATTCTTACAAAAAAAGTTGATGATCTTCGATCGAAATTTGCTGAAGAATGTCAAAAAGCTGAAACATATAAAATGGATGTAAGTTTTCCTTTTGTTTTTTAAATAAATAATCAAAAAAAAAGAAAAGAATTCGATTAGATACGTCTTAAATCGAATCAATTAAAAGAACTTCAACAAGAATTAAATCTTAAAAAAACATATTATGAAGGACATATAAATGATTTATCAACAAAATTAAAAACTATTTCTGATCGTCATCAAGAAACAACAACAATTTTAAATAATGAACTTGCAGTAAAAAACCAACAAGTTGAACAATTAACACAACAAATTGAACAAGTTATTAATGAAAAAATTTCATTTGAAAATGAACGAAATGATTTAGAAAGACAGGTATAAATTTTTTTTTCATGTTGATTTATAAATCTAACTGAATTTGTTTTCTATAACAGTGTCGTGTAAAAGATTCAATGACAGCTGATCTCGAATCACAAATTCGTAATTTAGAACGACAATTAACAGTAAATAATCATCTAATTATTCCTATAGAACCAACTGTATCAAAAGTTGATTATGAAAAACTTGATCAAGAATTAAATTTAACACGAAAACGACTCGATGGAATTATGACTGAAGTAAATTAATAATAATTTAAGTTATTTATTCTTTTTTTTTTTAGATTAAAACAAAAGATGCATTGAATAGTAAACTTGAACAAGATCTTCATTTATTAAAAATATTTCACGATGAACAGTTAGAACAACATATTCAAATTGCTGCATCAGATGTTGAACAATTACGTACAGAAATTCGAACATTAAAAAATCTTTGTGAAGAAAAAGCAGATGAAGTAAGAGTCTCGCATTCTCTTAGATTGAACTTATTTTAATAAGCTAAACAAATTTTATGAATACAAAAAGAAAATATCAAGATCAGATTATGTTGAATAATAACTTAGTGATATATTTTTCTTTGTATAATAATTCATCATAGATCAAATTTTATCAATAATATCAGTTTTCTTCAATTGATTTACAAGAAATTATTGAACAGCATCTAACAATGGAATCATTCTACGTAATTCATCGTTTTAGAGATGAGACTTTGTGCATAAACTAGATTTCGGTGAGCTATGAAAAATAACTCCAAGAGGATAAGTATTCTTATGTTTGACCTGTAGCGTTATTGCCATTTTTACTAAAAAATTAATTCATAACGCGATATATACTAACAAATTGAATGACAGTATATTGATCTAAAATTTTCTCTGTGAATAGACCCTATTTATGACTAGAATTTAAGCTCAAACGAATCTATTCCTGACATAATATTGAATTTCCAAAAATACAAGAATTTCATATGTTTTGAAAATGAACCTATGTGATGAAAACTGACGGTTTTACCAGTCCGGTTACCGACTCCCATTACTGCAATTTACCGCGGTAAACACTCGGTTTTGATAAATAGTGTGGTTCACCACTAAAAACTGTTTGGTATTTACGATATGAAAAATATCTTGTCAAGGATAGATTCTTTTGAGCTGAAATTTCAGGCTGATATATAGGAAATCGTGGGTTCGAGTCCACAAAAATCTGAACCCACAGTTTCCTACTTGCTTGATCTCATTTACATAAATACAACTAAAACTATTACATACAGCTAAACATTTTAATGCTACCGTTAGTTTGACAAATTTTGTTTATCAATTAACTGTTCAATTTCCTTTTTTGTTAACATAAATATCTTTTCAATTAAGTAAAAACTTTTAATCTATTAAACATCAAGTAATAAGAAAATCAACAACAAGAAATAACTATAAGTTGATTTTTTCCGCTGACAATAGCTCAAATCTTGATTCTTCACTTGTTAGTGTACACAAAGGATGACAGATATTGATGAAAAAAACCAGAGCCTGGACTCGAATCCACAAAAATGTGGATTTCACACGCCCTACCTCCCAGTGAAAAATATTTATCAAAAAAACAACGGCAAAGAACGCTTTTATGAAAACTTGTCTTTTACGTGAACCCTAGTCGAGACTCCCTAGAAGAATCCCGGGATAATCCCTTTAAGCCACCATTGGAATTCTCTGAAAAATTCAAATTTATGAAGATTTTAGAGGGACTCCTCGGGAACTCACGACAGGGATTTCGTTGGGGAGAGTCGACTAGGGGAAGAACGCGCTTCACAGTTTAGTGAACACATTCATAAACGAAAAGAAACATGCTGAGTCTAAAGGAACGAATTCTTTGCTGTTCCGCATTATTACGGAATGCTTCCTTCTCAACTCAAAAGCCGTCTCTATTTAGATAGAAAGGGTTCCGTAAACCAATAGAATGAGTTTCTATTCATTCTTTTTTGAAACGGTCAGAATAGAGTTCTATCAAAATGAGATTGTTTTCTTTGAACTGATGAATGCATTTCAGACATTGTAATATCATTCTTGGAAAAAAAGAATGTATTCTAAATTGTTGAACGCTTCATCTGGATTCAACGTCGATTTTGATTCAAAATTGACAGCTCTGAGACATAACACATTGAAAGTGATGCCAAAAATGGTAGAACATCGATGAGTTATACTCCATAGCTGGCAGTCTTGATTTCTAAAACAAAAAAAATTCGAATAATAGTTTGAGCTAAGAAAAATTGGAACACACTGTCGGATAGAGCTCGTCGAGTTGTACTTAAACAGATCTCTCAACGAATAAGGTATTAACTTCACATACTTCTCTTTAACGATTCTTGTAGGGAATATGAATCTAGATGACAATGACCAAGGATGCGTTCTAAAAAACAACTTAGCTTTTTTTAAGAAAAGAAAATGTTCTAGAAAAAACTGTATTGTTTCCGAGAAATAATGATTTTTTTATAAAGTTTGACCAAAGATAATCGAGATCGAAAATTTGAATATTTGATGAATTTCTCAAAATTCGTCACCCATTACTCGATAGCATCCTTTCCCTACTCAAAACTAGAGCCCATCGGACTGGACCAGGTTCGAGCCCAGCAATTTTTGGACCCGATAGGTTCTACTCAAAACTCCTCTTATACTTTTCTAGTTGCTTGAATATTATTCAGACACCTCTGTTGATGAATCGAATTATATACTGTCTAGACACAAAGATCGACAGTATACAAAACAAAAACAGCGAAACTTCGAACTATCATTAAATGAAATGTACTGCTTTTTTAATTTCATCTTATTTTATTTTCCGGTAATCTAATAGATATATAATTTCGAATAGGCTTTTACATATTTGACCGTTATCAATATATGATGATAAACTACTCAATCAATAATAAATTTAACTAAAGTATTTACTGTCGGTACTTACGGGTATCACGATATATTGGCAATTGTACGAACAAATATACGTAGATTGACATGTACATAGTCCTGTAGACCAAATATACAGGTTGATTACGTTATTTTTAATAGTTTTGTATAGTTTGCTGTATTTATGTAAAACGTCGAAAGTTTCTTATTTTAATACAGTTGGATAGAGCATCGACTGCTCTACCGGACCATATAGTTTACACTTAATTTTCTTTTGTTCTAGTCCAAAAAGATCGATAAATCTTAAAAGTACCAAAAAAAGTTTTTGCACTTTTCTGATTTCAGATACGCATGGAGAATAAATGCCTG